AGGAGAGGACCAGGGTGTGGGCGGGGTGGGGGGGGGGGAGTTGGGGGAAGAGAGAGTCTGAGAAAGCTGGTGGGAGTGACTCTGGAAGATAGTGCTGGAAAGTGACACAGCCCTGTGACACAGCCCTGAGAAATCTCCGCCATTTTCTCTCTCTCTCTCTCTCTCTGTCTCACACACACACACACACACACACACACACACACACACACACAGAGGTAGTGAGGAGGAGAGGCACCATTGGCAGCATGCACCACTGCCTGATTCTCCATGGGAAATCCTGCAGCCCCAGATACAATACACATCAGGGCTTGCCAAGATAAAATGGTAGAACTCCGGGCTTTAACGATTATTGGTTCTTTAATGACCTGAACGATCAGAGTCACAATTTTACATTGCAGCCAAAAGATGGCGATTCCTGGAGCAAAACATTCCCTGGGAGATGTTCGTGCGATATCGATTCACCACAAGGATTTCCATCTACTTCACTTCTCTTCACAGCACCTTGTGTTTTCTGGAGTGATCCCTCCTCTATGTTAAATGCTGACCAGATTTTTCCTGATTAATGGTGCCTGGCCACACGGGGACGTGAGGGAGAAAGCAGAAAGACGCTGATTTAAGTGATAGTTACATACCACAGTCAATGTTCCCTCTAATCATTCTTTTTTCATCCATGTGTAGAATGGTCAAAATATAGTTCAGATTCACACGGGTAGTCAATCCTTAAGTATAGAAAACAAAAGGTTTATGAATATAAAAAACTGAAAGAGTTTGTAGATCAGGATGATATTAGTGTGCCTGTCGGTAATAAATATCTCTGGTTCATCCAAAAGATTGGAATCCAAACTCTAGCTTAGTTGTGGAGTCTGTTGGAGTCGTTCCATGAATTTTTCAGTTATTACTTGGGGATTTCTGTCCAATGGCTCACACTTCCCCTGTTAAAGGTTAGCAGGTCCCAGATGGCAGAATCATGCCCGCTGTTTTTCTTTTATAGCTGAAACAGGATGTCAAGTGTTGTGAGCACAGCATGTGTCGAAAGATTTCTCATTGTTGAGCCCACAATGATCCACCCTTTGAAGTTCACATTCTGTTTCCTCCAGTCCTGTGCGCACAGCTAAAACCCTGAAGTGTGGGGAAATCAGCCTGTTGGCTTATCTTCATCAGCTGCACTTACATGCTGGAAAGAGGGTGAGGTGCTGCAAAAGATGTGTGATGCAAACATCATCACTTTGTATAAAAATAAAGGTGAAAGGGGTGATGACAACAATTACAGGGATGTCTTGCTACTAAGCGTAGCAGGAAAAGCTTTCTCAGAAGTCAGGTTAGTGGGCCTACAACCGCTGGCAAAGCATGGCTACCTTGAATCACAGGGTGGATGTGTGACGGCACATCGGGGAGCTCCCCCAACCCTACACCCCCGTCCGCAGCTAGATGTGACTCTCCACCAGCCAGTAGAGTAAAAATGGGTTTATTACTTCTCCAAGATACAGCACAGCATAGGCTCGATGTAGGCATAGGCTAGGCCGACAGCCCTAGTTCCCTTGGGGGGAAGGGGTTCACAGGCCCCTGAACCTCCTATACTGGTTTTAATCTGCTTCCTCCATGCTTCCCCACTCTCAGCCTGCCCCTTCTCCAAACCACAGAACAGTCATCCCCCCAGGTAGCCACACCCCTTCCTTTGTTCAAACTCCTTTCCCTGGCCAGGTGAGAAGTTGCTAGTCATGATCTATGTGCCTGCCCTCAGGAACCACCCTACTCTGGGCAGTGCTTGCAG